CCTTTGCTTTAGAACTTCATTCTAAATTTATTAAATGTATTGTTTAATTCTTTATGCCAAGAATTTGGATTCTATACATTTACAATAATATTGAAGAATCCAATGACCTGAAGTATGAAAATATTATGGCTTTAAAGAGCAAGTCATTTCTCTGTTTCATTTGTATGTATATAAATATCCCAAAATAAAAAGAATATCTTACTGCCTACATAGAAATGAATTCATCTCTCATTTTTTTTTATTATTTGGCTTTTTTATTTTTAAGTTACCTATATTCATAAAAATAATGAGCCAATTTATTTAAAGTAGAAACTATATTATAAAACTAGTCTTGCAAAAATGGTTTTCTTAAACAAATCTCTCTTTTATGTATAACAAATGCATGTGTTGTAAGAGAAAATTTGTTACTGTAAGACCATTTTCCATTTATTTATATAGTGCCATTTTCTATCAAGAACTTCTTTGAGAAAGATTTATTTGATTCTTAAAAAAAATATGAGGGGTCTTATTATTTTTATCCTTTTACACATGTCTACTATGATTATGCTTTCCTTTTTTCTCTTTCTAAATTTCTCAAAAGCACTATGTTCAAATTGCCTTTTTCTTTTCATCATCCAATTATAACTAAACCTCTTAAAATTTTGTATCTCATTTATCATTCTAAAAGAATCAAAATAGTTCTCTAAAAAGAATCTGATATCCTTCTCTTTGCTTCATTGAGAGGCTTTTTTCCTCAGTTGTCTTATTTTTCTCCCTCACCTGTCTACACTTTTGGAAAATTCCAAGAGCAGTAGTTTTTTGTAGCCTAAGTCTCGTTCCTAACTCTGATTGTTTCTATCTACCATTTCATATTCTGCTCTGTAATTGGTACTGCTCTCCAAAGTTCTAAATAGAGACGCTTTCTTTCTCTTTGAGTGAGAGTCTGTGCGGTGGGTTAATGTTCTGAGATGTCGACTAATGTTCCATACTTTCTTCCTTCTAAGATTGCCATCCACTGGCACTGATTGGCTCTACAATTTCCTTATAAGAAGCCTGAAATCTCCATTGGCTACCACCACACCTTGTTATATATGATAGAAGCATTCACTCGTTTCAATTAGCTTCTTGGCTCCTGTAGACATTTGAGTTAGTGACTTCTGGGCTTAGCAACTGAAGCTTTTAGAGACTTCAAAATATCTTTGGATCCCTGGGTGGCACAGAAGTGGCAAAGAGAAGCTTAAACGTGGAGTCTGGCACATTGGGATGAGGGATATATCAGTGTTAACCTTTATGAACCAACACCCTCCACTATTCATAAATTAAAATTTCTTGATCATCCATGGAATATGAGAATTTTAATTAGAAATAAAATAACTGTAGAAAAATAAAAATGGATACATTCGTGGTGAAAACTAGCATTAATATATTGAGGGTTTGTACCCACTAGACATGTTTCTGACTGGGGTTTCTTTTATTATCTTTGCAGAGAGAGTGCTCTAAATTTTATGCCTGGATATAATTTTAACGTCTTCCCCAGCTTGAGAAGGGAACTTCAAGTTTCCAGTGAGACTTGGTCTCATTGTGCCGAGAATGCTCATCTGTCTCTCAGTCTTTTCCTTCTGCCCTTCCTACCATTATCAATAAGAGCACTCTTCTTGTGGTCCTTCATGTTCAGAATCTGGAAGTACTCTCGGATACTTTGTCACTCTGCACATCTCATTAGTCACCATGTCCTATAATACTTCAGTAAAACTTTCTGAATTCACATCTTTTTATTTTCTCTGCTGTACGATAGCATAAGACACTGAAATCACCTCCGAATTTCTTATTGTGAACCTCTTCCCTTTCAGTACTTCTTAGGTATAGCTGCCAGAGAACCATTCCATAGGTTGAGTGCAATATATCACTTAAGTATCTTCAATGTCCTCCTTTTCCTCATGGACAAAAATCTGGATTTCTAGAGATGATGTTAAATCTTACATTAGCTGATGAAATTATCTATCAGGTTACTGCCTTAAGGAAGAAGGGTAAAAAGGAGAATCTAAGACAAGTGAACCTCATGTGCTACTGTCTTTATATCTGAAATACTCTGGCTTCCTGAAGGAACTGGAAGTTAGCCACTGAGACTACAGTGTTGTTTAAGTGAAAGTGGCACAGGTTGAAAGGTTGAAACTCTTCTCTCCTCACACATTTGCCCCTCCCTGCAGAAACCAGTTGTGTAAATTAAATCATGTCACTTCTCTGCTTCAAATGCCTTAATAGATTCCTCATGTATTGCAAATTCCAAAGTCCTCACCACAGCCTGGGTAGCTGTAAGTGCACTGGCTTCTGTTTGCCTTCTCAGACTCATGACAGAC